TTACTTCCAGCTCTCCCCGGGGGATCCCGAGGCGTTCCCAGGCCAGCTGGGTGACATAGTCTCTCCAGCGTGTCCTGGGTCATCCTCGGGGTCTCCTCCCAGTGGGACATGCCCGGAACACCTCACCAGGGAGGCATTCAGGAGGCATCCGAATCAGATGCCCAAGCCACCTCATCTGGCTCCTCTCGATGTGGAGGAGAAGCGGCTCGACTCTAAGCCCCTCCCGGATGACCGAGCTTCTCACCCTATCTCTAAGGGAGAGCCCGGACACCCTGCGGAGAAAACTCATTTCGGCCGCTTGTATCCGGGATCTCATTCTTTCGGTCACGTGACCATAGATGAGGGTTGGAACGTAGATCGACCGGTAAATTGAGAGCTTCGCCCTTTGGCTCAGCTCCTTCTTTACCACGACAGACCGATACAAGGTCCGCATCACAGCAGACGCTGCACCGATCCGCCTGTCGATCTCTCGCTCCCTCCTGCCCTCACTCGTGAACAAGACGCGCACACACACACACAAAAAAGACATGCTTTCAACATGCCTGGTTGCGGGGACGAGTGCGAGGGTTTGCTGCGTATCCGATGAATCCAACGGTCTTCATTGTGCGCAGGATTTCTGGGTCCACGGGAGGAGCTCGTCTACGTGACAAAGAAAATTCAAAAGACAAGCTTCAATATGTGACTTCATCAGCAGTCACTTTTTGGGAGGCCGGAAACCCAAATGACTGGGATGTTCTTTCCCTGGGTTGCACTACACACAGCACAGGGCTTTCTGTATTCTTGCTTTGAAAAACTTCCTTGTGGGTGGTCATCATCTCTTTGTTGCCAAACAGTATCGACAGCTCTTTCAAAAAAATTAAAATAATTAAAAAAAAAAAAAAAGAATGAAAAAGTTTAAAATAAATAAAAAGAACACTATATGCATAAAGGTGTCAAATGCTATTAGCATTGTTTGACAGCATTTACGGGCAGATTCTATTGTGCTTCGAGTACAATCCTCACATCTGCCAAATTACAACGTTTCAAGAAAAAAAAAAAAACGAAAAAAAACGTCATGTTGCTTGAATGACCAAACATCACATCATTCAAGTTGGTATCACACCTTGTATGGTGTGATACCAACTATGCCAAAATCATTTTCTCGGGCCAAATTCGATTGTTTTCCCTTGTTGTCACTAATTTAAATTGATATTCGATTATTAATTTATTAGTGCATGAAAAAAAAAAGAGCTCCATCAAAAATCGAGCTCTTTTGAACTGAAGCTGATCTTCTCAGCTAGTCTTTCTCTAGAACATTTCTTTAGGAGGTCTTCATTTTGACAGAAGTGCATTGTTGACAGTGCAAAGGTGGCACAGCATTTCATACGATGACTTACTTTGCTGCTGAAACATGGCAGCTTTCAGCCTTCACAAGTGCATCAATATCAGGTGTCAAATCTTGACTACCAGCCAATTTTAGAAAGTCACGTGAGTGGCAAATGGTCCACAACAACAATGACTATTATTGCTGAATTGCTGTCAATGTGTTCCATCCCCATGGGCCGAATTGGAGACCATGACAAGACGGGTCTGGTTTGACGGACATGAATGATTAAAAAAAAAAAAAATCAAAACAATGAGCTGACGAAGCTATTTAATACGCGGAAATCAATCTATATGAAAACACATCCTTGTGGCTGTGCAGTTCCTTCTGCACTACAGCATTACAGCAATGTGTAGAAAGAAAACAGGCTTACTCAAATGTATCCAACCTATTTTCACTAGTTATTGTTTAAAAAAAAAAACATCAAGACTTTCAATCTTGAGGCTGCGTATTGCTGCATGGCTCGCGCAGAGTGAGGGAAGAGGCAGAGTTTCACAACCCTTCTCATACAGGTCAACAGTTAATAGATTTGTTGTTCTCAAGCTACTTTCTACACTTAAAATTGGTTCATGCTGTGTACAACTAACAGACCAATAGTGTTGATTTGTGAGAAAACTATCAAGTGCACCATATTTGGACGTAGCATACAAGGTGTCTGTTTGACAGCGACAATATGTTCATATGTGCCTTGACTTCCGCCTGCTGAAATCAACTTTGGGTCTCAGCAAACTTCCCCAACCTTTGAAAGGAGTTTTGACTTTCCAGTGAAGCTCAATGCCTGACGATGTAAAGACTGGTTAACACTGTCAAACTACAGTGCACTGAACCCACTCTCGAGTAGTTCACTCAAAACACTGCCGCCTAATATCGCAACAGTCTTTCGACGCTGGTTGGAAGTGGCAGATTAAATCAATGGCTACGCGCCGTTGATGAATAAATGTGTGTGTGTGTGTGTGTCTGTGTGTGTGTGTGTGTGTGTGTGTGTGTGTGTGTGTGTGTGTGAGACGTAAATCATCTAAAGACACTAGGCAGTTCTCTACTGAGCTAAAATCGACCCCGTCAGGCAAAATGTACTCTCTCCCTGTCCTTCGATGATGCTCGCACCCCCACTTTTTCTCTTCCACTCGCACATGAACACACACGCACACCATACAGTACATGCACTCGCTGCACCCAACAAATTAATCTGCCCCACTGCTTACACGATTCTCTTTTCTGTTTGCTCAGCTCCTTAGTGTTTGTGTGTTTGTGTGTGTGTGTGTGTGTGTGTGTGTGTGTGGGGGGGGGGGGGGGGGTGGGGCGCAT